ACACGAAAATTATTGTTGCACTTCTGAGCATAACTTTCAAATTTAAAAAATCTATGAAAAAGAAAATTTGAGACAAAATTTTTTTTTAGATCCTTTTTTAAAGCTGGATTGAATGGTGGTAGGTTTTTTAAAATTTTAACTTTTGAGTATAGATGATCCGCCCAATTTATATTTAGAATTAATTCTAAATTAAATTTTTTAATATATAATGTTAATAACCACTATTTTATAAAATATATATAATTACCTAATTTTTTTTTTAAAAAAAAAATGGAAAATTGATAAAAAATTATGATAGTAAATGAAATTGCTAAAGTAAATTAAATAAATTGAAAGGAATATAACTTTATTAGCAATGAATTCTATTTCATATTTTACTTTAATTATTGTTATCGACAATTGTTTTGTTTGAGAGAACAAATGGATAATTTAAGAAGTAATTGTAATCAGGCAAACAATACTATATCCAAATAGTTTTGATGAATTTTTGCAGCAAAAAAAAAGCAAAATCTGCTCATTTCTGCAGTGTTTAAAAAATTATTTGTGCCCAAGTTCTGCCTATTTTATTTACAATTAATTCTGCTTAATTCTGATATAAAATCTTATTTTATTTAATCAAAAATAGCTAAAAACAGTCAATAAAAAAAAATTTTCTTGTTCAAATTGCTAATAGAAAAAAATAATATACATCTATTATAATTTATTATTATTAAACCGTTCTTGGACCCTAGTCAATTAAGTCAAGATTTTAGCATCAAGGTATGAACTACAACTATTATTATCTATGAAGAAAAAATAGAACTTATAAAGAAAATTTTTTTAATTGGATTGAGTTTTATTCGAATAGAAACCCTAACTTATTTCCATAGAACCAATAGATTCAGCCATTATGAACAAATTCAATAAATACATATAAAAACAGTAATATTGATCATAATCTGCTACAAAATAGAAAATATATTCAGCACTTGAATATAACTAGTGTTGAAATTTCGTCGTGTAGCTAGTACAGATTTAGAAACTATCTCCAAAAATTAAAAATTTGATTGGTGTGTAATATTACATCCTTTCAACACTTGATATAATTCTTCGCATTTCTAATAATAGAAGTAGCAACAACAACAACAACAACACCACCACCAATTACTAACATTAATATTAATGGCAATGGCAATAATAATAGCAATAATAATAATGTTATAGTAGTTCCTTTCTCATTAGAAAATTGGTGTTTGTCCCTACTGAAGATTGGGTTTCATCTTAGCATTTTAATCTGCAAATTGGGACGATTTTACTTTTATTGAGTTGATACCCCAAGAGGTTTTAGAATATCTAAAGTTGGTAACACTTGTTGGTATCTTACCACTAGCCCAACCCATATTGATTCGACAATTTCTATGGTTGGAAGCTAGCATAGTATGGTTTTCAAGTATTTTATGGGCCAAATTTATTTAGCTTCATCAAATTATCTAGGTGTTTTCAATGGAACACTAGTTAAACTGTTTCTTGTCAAGCCAACATCAAAAGAAGGAAGATTTAAGAATGCTATTGATAATGCTGTAAGAGAAGTTATTAACCGCCCAGTGTCTCCAATTTCAACCACAACCACAACCACATCATCAACAAATAATAAATCAACAAATAATAAATCAACAAATAATAAATCAACAAATGATAATACTACAGCCACCACAACACAATTCTACTAATGTTAATGAAATTATTATTACTATTAACAATTATAATTTATAAACCATTTATTGTAAAAATTATGATTTATTATTTATTTATTTTTTTTATTATAATAAAATCATAATGCAAAACAAATAATTTATATATAAACTTTTTTTAAGCCTTTATAAATTCCAATTTTGTAGTAACTTCACCTTCACTAAAGAGACCAAGCCAAGTTGGTAATTTAATAGTTTTGTCAATTTTTCCTTTTTGGAAAGCTTCATCAAGTTTTATTTTTGTTTCACCAAGCTAGAGAGAGAAAAAAATAAAGATTATTACTACCATCTATAATTATAATAACATCATGAACATTCATTTATTCATTTATTTATATGTACCTCATCATCTTTTTTTGGATCTGGGCCATCAGAATCAAAGACTTTAAGATGAAGAACTTTATCATTATCCTTCAATTTACTAGTTATAGACATGTAAAATATAATAATTAATTAATTAATATTTTTATTATTATGCAAGAAGAATAGATAATGATGATTACTTACAATGTAAAAGTTTCATTCCATACTGGTTCTAAGGTACCAACTTGAGTTTTAGTTCTTTGAGGATATTCTTTTTCAATCCAAAGTTTAACATATGGATCACCTTTATTATTATTATTGGGATAAAAAAAGTATCATTCTTAAATATATTATAAATGAATTGGTAAAGATTGATGATTATGGCAATGATGATAATTACTTTTTCCTAAAATATAAATTTTTGTAGATAAAAAAAAAATTTTTTTTGAATTAGTTGAACAATTTAACATGTTAATATTTTTTTAGAAAAACCAGTTAAATTATCTTTACCTTCAGCATCTTTGTTTGTTAAACCTTTGGCTGAAACTAATCATTATTTGGGACATACTGCAACAAAACCAGACAAAGTGAACATTGATGTTACCAAGAATTTCAGGGATCAATAGTGTTTGTTTAACATCACAATTGTGTTACTAATATAATGTGATCATGATATTTATCTAGACAAAAATAGTTAATATGAAACTAATTTACATCAGATCTACTATGGAACCTAAGAATTACAGCACTATTAGAAGCATTCTAAAAAAAGCTCAAGGTGAAAAAATTGCTCCTTACATTTTCAAAATAAATGATACTCAGACACTGGAAGCTTATCTAAGAAAAGAAAGGATTACTTATGAAATTTATCAAGAAGAAAGGAAAATAATAAACATTAAGAAATGAAAGCAGAATGAATAAATGTCACATTTTAATTGATCATTATCTTCATTATCTTGGATATAAAAAAAAACTTTTTTTGGTTTTTTTTTTTCTAAAATATGGATTTATCTAATATATAAGGTCTAAGATGAACCATGCATGATTTTTTCTTTTTTCTTTTTTTAATAATATTATATTATTAACAAATAATAATATTTTTTTTATAATAATGACCTCAGTCTTGATTATATTTTTGTTTCAAAACAATCACCCTACAAAAAGTTTAGATACTGAAAATGACCTTAAAACATGAATCAGTGAAATGATCTTATGCAAAAATCTCCACCACATCCCCGTCACATGATAAATTTTTTAATAAAATTAAAAATTGAAAAATTTTTTTTAATTTTTTTTTGCAATGTGTTTTTGAAAAAGAATTACTCATGATATCTGTTATTTTTTTTAAAAAAGTTTTGGAGATTCGAAATTTTAAAAGAGTTTCGGGATTTAAAAACAAATTCAGAGTTTCAAAATAGTTGTTTAAAGTTTAAAAACAGTGTCGGAGTTTTAAATTTTCGAAAATAATTCAGAGTTTTGAAATAGTTTGAAGTTTTAAAACAATGCTTCTGTTCGTATCATTATAATTCTAACTAGTTTGTTTCATTCATTAATTTATTATTATAATGATCTAATAAACAATCAATTCATAAATATTGAGAAAAAAACTTTTTTATTTATTTGTTTATCAATCATGAATAGTAATAGTAATAGAGTTGGAATAAATTTATTCGAATAATTAAAAAAGTTGCACGAACGCAAAAAAATTTTTACATCACTCATCTTTACATCCCTAAGAGTAAACACCTTTTTTTTCGATATTCTTGAAAAAAAATACATGAATATGTTCTTTGACATTAGTTTCATAACGCAAAATAAAAAAAAATCATTTTAAAGTACAAAAGTATAGTACCATTTTTTTATACAAAGTCGTCAATTAGCAAAATTTGTGACATTTTTCCTCCGCAGATCCTTATATAGTAATAGAGTTCACCGATTCATAGACGGATCGTCAATTAAAATTTACTTAAAATGTTCTTGTTTTCTTCCATCAGTATATTTTCAGTATCTAAACTTTTTGTAGGGTCAAAGGTAGTCGGACTACATTGAGGATGGTGAGTTCAAGCAAATTATATTCAAATGATTCGTGAGCCGGATTTGTTGGTATTAACTTTTGATGCCAAAACAAGATTCCAAACCACAGGAAAGTTTGTGGTGGAAGATGGCAAGGAACATGTATGTATGTTGATGAGTGTCATAACTTCCTTCAATGAACCCTATTAAGATGTTAACTAGAAATTTTGGTCATGACAAATAGCCCAGTCTCGTCCAAACCATAACAATAGAAGAAGACATCACCATCTATCAGCTCTCACCACCACCTCTCCTCCTAATAAGCAGCCCTTATGAAAACAATTCTTTGAATATCTTCAAGGACTTCTCCTATGGAAGCTTCTTGTCAACCAGGACTTCCCAGTCATCAGCAACAAGATCTTTAAATTCAAGTTGTTGGTGTCCTATTCAAGCTCATCTTCAAGGTAAAATTCTCCCTTTTTTAAAAAAACTCTGAATCAAAACATAATTTGTAGATTTGGCATTAATAAAAATAATTAAATAATAATAAATTTTTTGCTCAATGAATAAATGTGATAATAATATGAATGACATTGTGTGAATGACTAATTTTGATAAGAGATTTATTGAATCATGTGTTTTTAAATATAAATTTTTTTTGTTATAAGAAGATCTTATCTATATAGTTATTTTTATATTTTATTTTAAATGCATCCCCTATTTTTAAAGTTCTAAAAATATTGTCTGAGATAATATTTACAAGAACTATCATCCTTAAATTCTATGAGAGATGAATTATTCTTTGATAAATATAATTTGATGTTTTCAAATGATGAGAGATCTCTTGTAAATTTTATCAAATAATTAAAATAACTATGAGAAAATTGAACAGAAATCTTATCTATATAGTTATTTTTATATTTTATTTTAAATGCATCCCCTATTTTTAAAGTTCTAAAAATATTGTCTGAGATAATATTTACAAGAACTATCATCCTTAAATTCTATGAGAGATGAATTATTCTTTGATAAATATAATTTGATGTTTTCAAATGATGTGAGATCTCTTATAAATTTTATCAAATAATTAAAATAACCATGAGAAAATTGAACAGAAATTGGATTTGTAACATTAAATTTAATATGCTACATAATGAATAAGACATTTATACACGTTAATAAATATTATAAAAGAATATTTTAAAAAATAAATTATTTTAAAAATAATTACTTTATGCATGACACAAACTGAATTCAATTTAATGCTACCATTAACCAACTCACTTTCTGCAATAAATTTAAGTTCATTGTTATTGATTTCGATTTTAACTTTTATTAAAAAAATTATCTTTATTAATTAATTAATAATATTAGTAATATATTATCAGCTACAAAAACAAAATTACCATTTCCACTCTTATCTATATAGTTATTTTTATATTTTATTTTAAATGCATCCCCTATTTTTAAAGTTCTAAAAATATTGTCTGAGATAATATTTACAAGAACTATCATCCTTAAATTCTATGAGAGATGAATTATTCTTTGATAAATATAATTTGATGTTTTCAAATGATGAGAGATCTCTTGTAAATTTTATCAAATAATTAAAATAACTATGAGAAAATTGAACAGAAATTGGATTTGTAACATTAAATTTAATATGCTATATAAATGAATAAGACATTTATACATGTTAATAAATATTATAAAAGAATATTTTAAAAAATAAAATTATTTTAAAAATAATTACTTTATGCATGACACAAACTGGATTCAATTTAATGCTACCATTAACCAACTCACTTTCTGCAATAAATTTAAGTTCATTGTTATTATTGATTTCGATTCTAACTTTTATTAAAAAAATTATCTTTATTAATATTAGTAATATATTATCAGCTACAAAACAAAATTACCTTTTCCACCAATAGCTCGTATGTCACGACAACTTTTCTGGAATATGAATAAAGGTAATGTCACAACAGCATCATAACCTTTTGTTATATAATGATATTGATATTGCTCTTTGTATGTTTTGAAAACTTTCGTTACAAGGAATTCACTTTTATAAAATAATTTTTTCCATACTATATCATTATTAATTAAAATTGCCCATGCTTTTGATAATATGCTCAAGTTGATAATTTCACAAAGATCAAGGTACTTAATTATTAAGAAAATCACCTCATTGGGCAATTTTATTAAATTGTCATCATTACTATCTTTTTTTTTTTTTTTTTTTCCGATGTCATCGTAATGTTATTTTTTATTGGTTATTTCAAATAAATTTACATAGTAAAATAAATAAACAATTTAAAAAAAAAACAAATA